GTAGTAATAAAAGTTGCTCAGTTTTTCTCCTCTAAACAGCATAAATATGGTATTTTTAAACTACAGATATTTTCAGTAAAGTGAAATTGTCATTCTAATAGATTTTTATTTAATTTATTTTACTAATCAATACCCATATAGTGGTTTTATAAATATTGCTTCTAACTAGAATGTCTACCATTCATTTCTTATAGGTGCATCTGCTATTCAGAACCTAAAATAGGGAAAATTAGAATTTTCTTATGATATCCATATTTGTGAATAAAAACACTAAATAAGAATTATATCCATTTGACCTTAGAAAAATTTGCCTCACAGAGCATTTCCTAAGGAATTTAAGCAAGAGATTTTTGCAGAAAAAGTATAACAAGATCATTAGTTATATCTATTCAGGAAAAATAGGCTAGGGAGATTTATTTTTGCACTTGTTGAAAGTGAATATATTTAAAAATTCTCTATCAAATAGCCATTATCATGAAAACTAACAATAACAAATGCTGGCAAGGATGTACCAAAAAGGAACTCTACTACACTGTTGGTGGGAATGTAAACTTGTTCAACTACTCTGGAAAGTAGTTATGGAGGTTTCTCAAAAGACTAACATAACCATTTCTTTATGACCCACTAATTCCACTCCTGGGCATTTATCCAATAGAACACCAGCAATGCTGAACTAAAATGATCAGCACAACCATGTTCACTACAACATTATTTACCATACCCAAGATATGGAATCAACCCAGATGCAAATGGATCAAGAAAATGTTGTGTATATATACACAGTGTAATTCTACTCCATCAGAAAGATTGATACTGTACCATTTGTAAGGAAATGGAAAGCCTTGAGAAAAATTATATGAAGCAAAGTAAGCCAGACTCAAAGAAATATAGGTGGCATGTTTTCCCTCATTTGTAGTAACTAGAATGTGTATAGAAATCTGCAAGTAAACACACTGGATGGTAAAAACAATACACTTGGACATGATGAATTATACAGGTCTCTCTCTACACACTCACACATTGAGACTAAATGAGAAATAATCAGTTTTTTAAGCCAAAATACAACTTCCCTACAATATCTTTTTTGTTGTTGTTGTTATTTTGTCGGTTGTGGGGCTTGAACTCTGGGCTTGGGCACTGTCCCTGCACTCTTGACCTCAAGGCGAGTGCTCTACCACTTGAGCCACAGCACCACTTCCGGTTTTCTGGTGGTTTATTGGAGATAAGAGTTTCATGGACTTTCCTTCCCCGGGCTGGCTTTGAACCGTGATCCTCAGATCTCAGCCTCCTGAGTAGCTAGGATTGCTGGCATGAGCCACCAGCACCCGGCTACAATCTCTTAAATATATACATTCAATATGTGGCTGAAAATGGAATAAGCCAGTCAAATTACCTTATTTTTTTTCTTGTAACGACTTCTTTCTAGCAACACACTCAGTACAATTCCTCAATGTGATCTTAAAGTGTGATTTTTATCCCTAATTTCACCACATTGATTATGTCTGAGATTTTAACTTTGAAGTTACTATTTTTATTGCAATTATTTACACTGATATTTACTAGTCATCATTTTTATCCACATTCCTTTGTAAGACTTCATAAAACTTATTTATTTGATACTCATTAAAAAACAAAGACTAGAAATTCCTAGTCTAACAGTCTATAGTTGGAAATGCTCAATACTCAAAATCTGAAATATTTTGAGTGTCAACATGATTTACCCTCATGGAAAATTCCACACTTGATTTCATGTTACACACTTCAGTGGAAAATTTCTTTCGGGCGATATTTACAAGTTATATATGAAAGACAAGTGGGTTTTTATGGTTATACTTTGTTTCCATCCCCAAGATAATTCAGTATGTATCACAAGATAATTCAGTATGTATTTACAAATATTCCCAGATTAAAAAAACATGAATCCAAAATGTTGGCCCCCAATTTTTACAAAAGAGATATTCAATCTTCACTACATATTTTTAGGAATATTTTTAAAATATGGATTAATAGTGAAGAATGTGTGTGTGTGTGTGTGTGTATGTGTGTGTGTGTGTGTGTGTGTGCTGGGGATCAGGCCAGAGCCTTGTGCATTTTAGGCAAGTTCTCTGCTATTGTCCAACAGCCCATCTAATATGTGGCATTTTTAAACATTTTATATAATTTTTAGATTATTTTGTTTGCTTTACAATACCAAGAACTGAACGCAGAACCTTATACTTATTTGACAAGGGTTCTTCCTTATGAGTTACATCTCCAGTCTTTTCTTTTTATTTGTTTGTTTTTCAGATGGGATGTCCTGCTAACTTTATTATTTACCTTATTCTGCTATTGAGGTTTATTGACTCTGTTTTTCTGTCACTAAATAAAAAAAGTTATTCACCTGAAACGTTCTTTTTTAATTTGTATTTGTGAAATGTATTTGTTTAGTGATCTATATTTCTTTCTCAGAAATATGTCTGTCTTACAGATTTTAATATCTCATTTTTGTCTGTATTAAATTTTTTGCACTTTTTAAATCTCACTAGAGATTCCCTTATCACAATGAGTGCTTCATTTCCAGATGTCTGATTTCCATCATCTTTCTGTTACTGATTTGTAACTTTTCTTCAGTTTTATTTGCAAAACATTTTTCTCCCTTTTCTTTCTACATGTACACATTGCTGTTTTTGTAATATATGGGTCAAACCTGGGACCTTGAATATGCTAGATAAATAATCTACGGCTTAGCTACACCCCTACCCTGATGTGCTTGCTCTTTGTACACTGAGAACCACATCATCTGTGGAAAATACAGAAAACTGAAGAGAAGGAATACCTATTGTATTCTTATTCACACTTTTTGTTTTAATTTCATCATTTATATCATTTATATATTTTCATTTATCATTTATATATTCTTTTTTTTTTGCCAGTCCTGGGGCTTGAACTCAAGGCCTGGGCACTATCCCTGAGCTGCTTTTGCTCAAGGCTAGTGCTCTACCACTTGAGACACAGCACCATTTCCAGCTTTTTCTGCTTATGTGGTGCTGAGGAATCAAACTCAGGGACTCATGCGTGAACAGCAAGCACTCTATCACTGAGCCACCTTCCCAGCCCTCATTTATATATTCTTATGATAACTTATTTTAGCAATTTCTTTGGATATGTCTGTTGACAGTGAAACTATTCACTTTCATTTCCTTTGAAAATTTCAGTATGCTAATCTAAATTTCTTTCTCACTGTAGTACAAGTCATAGCTGCTGTAGACTTTTCTACAAGGACTAGAAACATTAACTGTATAGTTACTCAAAAGCCTGGGTGGCATCAATCACATCAAAGGATATTAGTTATCAATTCATAAAGGCACATAGTATGTGATTAAACATAGATTATAGCTAGTTGAAAATTTGTTTTTATTTCCAGTACGTTTTTACCTTCCAACTTGAATTTTAAAATAATCTATTGACAGGAAATTGTGATAAAATAGTTATTATTATAACTGATGTAGAACATTATGTCTGTGTGTTTAATTTAATATTAAGAACAACATGAAAATCCTACATTACCTATTTTCCCCAGAATGTGGAAATTTCAATATTTCTGTTTCTTTTCCAGATGAACAATTAATGACATTTTCTGATTCTCTTTTCATACATGGGTCTGAGGATTTAAATCAGAACCTTGCTACTTGCTACAGAGGTGTTCTATCCATCCCTCCAGCCTTATTGGATTAGTTATTTTTCAAGTAGGGTCTCGTATTTTTACATGGAGCTGACTTCAGACTGGAAACCTCCTACCCATAGTTTTCCACTTAGCTGAGGCCATTAACATATAACTGTCCTCCCTGTTAATTGAGATGGAGTTTCTCTAACTTTTTACCCAGGCTGGCTTCAAACAGTGTTCCTCTTGATCTCTACCTCCACTGTGGCTGGGATAACAAGTGTGAGCCATTACACACAACCTACGTTTTAAAATTCTTTACCATTTTTCAAAATGAATAGTTTCTTCTAGACATTATCTTCATCTGAGCTTCATAGTTATGGTCTTAGAAGGTAGATTCTAAAGCTTTTATTGCTATCAGTTCTAATGTATAAGACATATAGGTATTTTTCTTATATGATACTGAAATTATATTTATACCATAAGTATTGTTTTTCTTAAAGCTTCATTGAAATAGAAGAAATATCTTCACACAGATACAATTATTTTTGTCATTTTTCAACCTTCTTTTCATCTACAGTTGAAGTATGACTAAAAACCATACTGTTGTTCTACTTTCAGATAAGTAAAATATTGACAGCATTTCTGTTGTCTTACGAGGTCATTGAAGGGATAAACCTCACTGATGCTTGCTTGAACTAAAATTAATAAAGAAGAAAATGAAAATAAACAAGTAGGACAAGGAGTAGTGTATATGAGCATATCTTAGCTTAGAATACCTATCCAAGGACAGAAATTATAATTGATAGGAAGATTGGAATTGGGACCTGAAAAAAAGAATTAGAAAACTAGGTAGAAAACACTTCTATTTTTTAGAGACATGATCTTCTATTTCTACTTCCTGTATGTATGGATTTTGTGTTCCACATTCTCTTCAGTGGGGTCCTTTTCTACTTTTATGTGCATATGACAGAGTTGACTTTTTCACAGTGCCTAGGATTGCCAGTCCTCACTTCATGCAACTAGTAGAAAAAAAGTTTTCTGAATTCTAACTCTAAATCTGATTAGCCAAATTCAGGTTAAGTAGATGATACCTACAACCAAGCTCCTCATTATACAAGGTACAGCATAGGATCAGTGTTAAAAGAAAAGTAAAAGCTGGGAAAATACTCTGTCTACCATGCCTGCATATGTATACAAATATTACTTCTGAAGTTTTACTTTGAAAGCGCACACTGTATTTAACCATTAAGTATAAGTATCACCAATGAAATTGACATCCTTTATTCTGTTCTGATATGAGTATGCTCTTTCATACTAAACTAAGAAATTACAACTTTATATTTTTTTTTATTTCCAGCCAGTAACAGCTCTTTCATCAAGTGGACCTCTGTCATCTTTACAGTGTGTAACTCTACCAACTCAAAGAGTACTTGACAGATCAGAACATTTTTCTAGAGACAGAGTCAGCACTCCAAGGTAATCTTTACTGATAATAAGATTTACCTAATTATAATCTTAATTTAGCCTAGAACATAGAAAAAATTAGTTATATTTAATGGGGTATTTCAAACATGACATTTCATCCCCAAAATAATCACATACTGATTGGATATAAACAAGAGAACAAACAGTAGATTGCAAAGAAGTAGCCTAGCCAGGCAATTATTTTTAGGAACATTGGAAAACAGTTCTTGTGGGACAGCATGCAAATGAGTGTAATATCAGCATACATAACTATTCTTCCAAATGGTTTCACAAGAAGATTAGTGTTGTCTCTTGCTTTCTATAGATTAACAAATAGAAATGAATATTCGATAATATTTTCCTTCAGAGAGATTTCAATAGGGAAATAGGTATTTACTAATATTTAATGAATATTTAAATATGTACTAATGTTTACCTTTTTATTTTAAGTAATGAAGGAACAGTTTCACCAAGAAATGATAAAAGAAACAAATCTGAAACAGAATTGTCTGACACAAAAGGTTCTGAAACTTCAGGTGGTTCTTTGGACTTGAAAAGTCTCCAAGAACTAACAATAACTGAAAGTGATACACCTCTTCTGGATTCAGGTTCTGAAAGATGTGTAATTGATTCTGACTCTGATAGAGGCATTAGTTCAGACTATGACATGGAAAAATACTCAAAAGACTCTAGCTCAGTGATTTGGGGAACAGATTCAGATTCAGAAAAAGGCCCCAGATGCTTCGACTCTGCAAAACTTCTGTTAGAAGGAAAAGGCTTCCAGATCGATTCAAGCTTTGTAGAAGTTCTGATGAAACCAGAGCAGCGTATGGTGAGAATTGAAGAGTGCCATGTGGAATCTGGCTCTCTGAGACACTGGATGGATTCAAGTTCAGAAAAATGTTTAGAAGATTCTGACTCTGAAAAATACTTGTTGGACTCTGATAATGGAAAAATGGACAGAGATTCAGGCTCAGAAAAATTCCACATGACACTCCCATCTGAGAAACAGACATCAGAGATCGAAAAAAGCCAAATGATTTCAGATTCTGTAAAATGTCTGATGGAATCGGATGGATTGATTGACAAGGAAAAAGTCTGCAGGATCTCTGCTTCTGAAAGGCGTGTAACAACCTCAGACACAGAAAGTGGTAGAATGGAACCACCCACTGCACCTACAGTGCACGTGATGAAAAAAGAAAAACACCAGAAAATTGGTTCTAAACGATACAACATAGACTCTGACTCAGAGTTAAGTGGGATAGACTCAGACTCAGAAAAGCTTGAGCTAGGCTCAGCTGTGAAATATCTCATAGATACGAAACCATTTCAGCTAGGCACTACTGCTGAGAATCTTTGGAAGGAGTCTTGGTCTGAAATACAAGCACTGAACTTGGACTTTGAAAGCCCGAAGAAGATCTCTGATACTGGTGAACACATGAGGAAGGCTAAAACTTGCCATGGTTCTGCTAACTTGCCAAGATTCCAAATGGGCTTCAAATCTGATTCTAGAAGAAGCTGGATAGAGCCTGAAAGGCAAAAATCGGACTATGAGTATATTGGACGCCGAAGTAGATCCAGAAGATCTCAATATCGATCTGTAAGACTTCAGGAGAGCTCTGAAGAATGTCCGGATGACCTTCAAAGCTATTGGGATAACTTCGAAAGGGAGCGACTGAAGTCTAATTCTGAAAAACAGACAAACATTGAAAAGGGAAAAGACAAAGATGAGTCAAAAGATAAAGCAAAACCAAAGGAGACAAAGTTTGGAAAGGAAGGATTTATTCTGGCTGAAAAAAGAGGCAGACCTGACATAGAGATTGAAACTGAAAAAGAACAGAGAATCGCTCTTGATCGTGAAAGACAATCTCATGAATCAGAAAGTGAAACGCATAGGCTGGGTGCTCGCAAAAAGGCTAATCGCCCTCAAGGTAAGGTGTAATGTATGTGGATTTTGAAACCATATTGTTTCACAAGCTTAGTAACTTCCAAAATGGCAAATGTTTGGAATGATTTGGGTCTGAAATCATTTTAGCAGGAATTCAATGAATAGACATCTTCATCTCAGATTTTTATTTTATTTTTATTTATTTCATAAAATAATAGTTTATTGATTGCATGTAATTTTAGCTGTATTATATATGTGATAAACTTTTCAGAATTAGAAATAGTGACTTTGCATTTTGCTGAGAATAATCTAAGTTCTTATAGCATGGCCAGTGAAAACCGCTGAGGTCTTGCACTGTCACTGAACTTTACAGGGGGACCCAACAGTTGCCCACACAGAGTGCTCAGGTCCACATAGGAGACTTTTCAGCCAGTACCATTCTTACACAGACTCTACCATGCCCATGCAACTAGAACCATCTAGAACCATTCTGGAATCATCCCTTAAGGGTGCATTGGTGTCCCGGTTATGTTATACAGTACACAGAATCTAACTTTCCATCTGCACCATTTCTCAAATGACTATTTTTAAAATGTAATGTTATTGTTATTATTAAGGTGTTGTACGAAGATAATGAGTACATTTCTCTTTGGACATCATCTCTAATTTTACTTTTCCCCAATTTCCCCTGCTTGTCCCTGCCCACAAATTGCATACTTCATTTTCCACACAGTGACTACTGAGTACAATGTCTGTATTTGTTCATCCTTCCTCCCTCCATCTCTGTGCCCCCCCTTGTCCTCTCATTTTACTTTTAAAAATTAGGCAAACCACTTTTATCCTCTTCTGTTTAATGGAGAGAAATTATACAATTCCTAGAAAGAAAAGCAATAGGTGTAAAAACTCCATGAAATTTAGCTCCTATCATTCTGGAGTAGGTAAATAGAGAGAGACTATTCGTAGTGCTTCTTATAGTTAGTTGCTGACCAAAGAGATAATTATACAAACATGAATTTGTAAAAATTTAACTCATCTTCTTTCTCTCAAAAAATTTATTAAAAACATCCAAAATTTTCAGTGAGAAGTTGTCATCTTGTTAATTTTGTCCATCATACTAAATCATTACAACTCTCCATTTCTTAGGCCATTTAATCAAGACATGTAGATTGTGAAAAAGAAACTATTACTATCTCATCAATAGTGTGTTAATTCTGTTTAGTCATTTTCCACTCAACTTTTGACCCAAAGCTTCAAACCTCCAAAACTCAGAATAAGCACCTAAATATTCTAAGAAGTTGCCCCTCTGAGATTATAAAAATGTCCATGGCTCAATAAATTCCTGTGAATCCTTTCAAGAACAGATTATTTTAAAATAATTCCCAATTAATTTATAGTCAATGTTACTCATATTAATATGCAATTTCCACATAGTAAGTCTTGAAATTTGTTCCATATTACAACTGAGTTTTCCTTAAGCTATGTGCGTTTTATATGGTAGACTATTGATTCCAACGAAAAATAAAATGTACTATATATTGGGATATTTACGAAGAGAAAGTATCTCCACATTGCAGTTTTAGTCAGATTGAACCTCAAACCATTCATCCAGCTCATTTTAAAAAAGCAAAAAAAAAACCCTCACTGACCCTCCAGTTAGAAAGCAGTCGTAGGGGCTGGGAAGGTGGCTCAGTGGTAGAGCACTTGCCTAGCATGCCTGAGGCCCTGGGTTCGATTCCTCAGCACCACATAAGCAAAAAGAAAAAAGCCGGAAGTGGCGCTGTGGCTCAAGTGGTAGAGCGCTGGCCTTGAGCTGAAGAGGTGAGGGACAGTGCCCAGGCCCAGAGTTCAGGCCCCACTACCGGACCCAAAAAAAAAAAAAAAGAAAGCAGTCCTATTAGAATCGATTATGTAATATGAGAAATTAATTTCTAAGATTCTCCTTTAAAGTAGTGATAAAAAGTCTATTACCTTTTATGAGAATAGAGAAAAATACCTTAAAAATTTGTTTTCATTTAAGTTGAATTCACAGTATTCTAAGTCTTTAATATCTTTCTGTTTTAATGAGGTAATATTAGCAATCCCTTAAGAGGTGCATTAATCAGCATAGAGAATATAAAGATTTAAGTTTCTCATATTACTTTTGTTTTCAATATTTTCAAACACTATTTGGTAAATATACAATGAAATGAAATTACTGCTTAGGGCTAGAAGAATCATGAAATTCAAATTCATTGTTAATGATATGCTTTACAAAAGTTTGGTTATTGCCTACTATGTGCTCAGTATACATAATAAATTCATAATAAATTACAATAAATTCATAAAAGTATAACCTTCATTAGCACCTTTAACCTTTTTATAGTCCATTATGTAAAAATAGTATTTGCTAAAATCAAATTCTTATAATGTGCCAAGCATTATACTACAAAATTGTATGCATCGTTACATCTAATTTAATTCACTACTGTTATACCTGCTTATACATAAAAGATACTATACACATTATATAGTAATATCATGAACTACTTAAATATTTTATACATATTAATTGTCTAGTGATAATTCAGTATGGGTAACTTACAAAACGAATTTACTAGATTTATATGTAGAAACACAATGAGCCTCACAAACCTAAGAGGTAGGTTACTATTATTATCCTTATTTTAACCAATGAAAAAACTGAGATACCAAGGAGTTATGTAACTAAAAAAAGTAGCAAACTAAATTTAAAAAATCAGGATATGATCTCATGTTCCAATATCTGTGCCACTAACCATGAAAAATGTACTTTCAACTCTAAGTTATATGTTACACCTATTTCCCAGTAAAGACAATGGGTCTGTAAACACATGTCAGACTTGTCTTGGACTTTGTGCATAACTTAATCTTATTTTAGACCCTGAGTTCCTAATAAAACACAATTGTGTAATCTCAAGTTTTCAACCTGTGATCTTCTAAATTATGAAAACAATGGCATTATTGTCCTTGCTAGAAAAAGGAGGAAACTGAACTTCAAGCAGAGAACTTTGCCCCCATCACCAAGCATAGGAACACCTAATTTAGCATTACTTCCATGGTATCTATGACTTCATAGAGTGAAGAGTATAATTGAAAGAATGTATTATTTTTCTGGAGGTAATCAATTAAGTATATTTTGTTGAGTTTACTTGAATTTCAATACTACCAATTGAGTGGGAATTGTTTAATTTGTCAATTATTATTAATATAATTATTTATTAGTATATGGTAAATCTGAAAGTAGAAAATAGAAAATGTCATAGCTTATCTTATGCATTGTTAGCTGCTGTGTGTTGAAAATAAAAACAGAAAGGCTAAATGTAATTTTTAAATTCTAGAATTAAAATAGAAGGCGGTAGATGAAATAAAAGTATTCTCAATCTTTTATGCAAAATATACATTGAAGCAGGATGCTGGTGGCACATGCCTAAGATCTGAGGATCAGAGTTCAAAGCCAGCCCGGGAAAGAAAGTCCAAAAGACTCTTATCTCCCGTTACCCACTAGAAAATCAGAAGTGGTGCCAATAGCTCAAGTGGTAGAGTGCTAGCCTTGAGCAAAAGAGCTCAGAGATAGTGCCCAGAGATAGTGCTCAATCAAACACTAGGACCAAAAAAATCCATTGATACTACTAGTTAGCTGAAACTTCCATTGTTATTAAAGAATAAAAATGTGTATAACAAATAAAAAGGAGCTCTTTGTGCTAGTCATCTCTTTACTACTATATAAGTAACAACCATTTCTTAAAGTCAGATTTTACTATGTGTGTCCCTTCTCTATGCTAATAGTAAAGAGTTATGAGGAAAATAGCCTTGCTGCATCACCACAACCAAATTTCAGTCTCTTTACTCTTGTGACTAGGGACCATATGTGGATGGTTGTTGTTCAATTTTATGCCCTACTACTCAGATGAGAATTTTCAACACATTTTTAGAGTTAACTGAATATCTGTTTAAATTTTATATAGGCAAACATGCTACCAACCTGTCCTAATGCAAACAGTATATACTCTTTCTACAATGTTATTTTTCTAGGACTGGAAAGTAATTGAGTCAATTTGATGTTTCTAGGGTTTTGGAGGCCACTTTCCATGCCCCTTCCACTTCCCCAAAGAAAGAAAACTGAACAATACACCATACCACAACGAGATAACAGAGGTGAGTAATAGTAGAAATTGCCTAAGAATTTATTTTTACCCAAGAATTTAATCATAGTCTCTCAGAATTTATTGTCAGACGTGTTCCAATACCATATTGAGGTGCAATCATTCTCTAGAGCTCATAAGACTCAGTATGCAGTTGGTCTCGAGGCTATATACTACAAATCAACATCAGCGAAAAGAAAATGTTCATGGAGTAAAGTCTAGAAGAAACTAGGTATGAAGTTCCAAAGAGTCCCAACCTAATAGTAATCCAGATTCACACAATTTATCTAGCAAGGAATTTTGACAGTATGTAAAATATATTTCCTGTCGTGGAAGCTCATTAGATTCTGTTACTTAAATATCTCTTTATAATTTTTCTTGTCATTATAAAGCTGATGCACGGAGAGGTTACAGTTACATAAGTCAGGTAAAGAGTACATTGCTTTTCGGACATCATCCCTTCCTTTGCTCTCTCTCAGTCAGAATATATTTTTAACTGATTTCAAGGTTGATTTCATCCTCTAAAGCATAAAAGTCAACGTTTGTAAGTATTTAAGTATATTCACAGATTATGCTGGCATCAGCACAGTTAAATTTAGAACATTTTTATCATTATAGATAGTAACCCAGCACTATATACTTATTGCTTACCTACTCTTCCCATTCTTTTTAATTTAAGAAAGCACTAATCAACCATCTTGAAAGATCCCCATATTATATATATTTCATGAGTGGAATAATAGAGTTATGATCCCTTGTAACTACATAATGCTCTCAAAGTTATACCATATTATAATAGGCATTAGTATTTCATTCTATAAACGATTAATATCCCAGAGAAGAGATATATTGGATTTTATTTGAATGTTAGTTGATGACAGTTAAGTTGATTCTAATTTTTAACTATTATAAATAAAGCTAGTATAGACACTAGTATACAAGCTTTTGTGTGAATATGTACATTTTAATTTGTTTTGGGCATATACCTAGAAAGGAAAATACATAAGTACAGTGCAACTGCATGATCTGTTTCTTAATTACCTGACTTTAACCACTTTAATGAGTGCCAGATGGCATCTCATTTCCATTTACTTTTCTTTACTAACTACTGATATTCTTATATAACTGTTGTCCATTTTATGTCTTCCTTGGGTAAATGTCTACTTGGACCCTTTTCATCATTTTTAATTTTTATATATTTTCTCTTAAAATTTAAAGTTTTTAGAGTTTTATTATCTTTCAGTAGTTATACAAAGGAGGTGCCATCTGACAATATAACAATAATGAACATAATGGATCTTGATCATTGTCACCCACTTCATCATTCTCAGCGCCCCCTTGTACCCACACCTACACTTACTTTTCTTAACTTTGTGGTATATGCCATGAGTTTGTGACTATATTCTCCCCCTCGTTATATTACTAGTATCGCTTATAAGAGTCACTTTGGTGTTCTGAGTACTTGTTTAATATTAGATATTTAATTTGAAAATATTTTTCTTATTCTGTGGCTTATATTTTTACTTTCTTGATGACTTCAAAGAACACAATTGTAAGTTTTGCTAGAATATTATAATTATTTAATTTAATTTTATGTACAATATATTTTCCCTTGTAGCCCATGATTTGAGTGTCATATGTAAGAACGTTTTTCTAGGGCTGAGAAGGTGGCTCAGTGGTAGAGCGCTTGCCTTGCATGCCTGAGGCCCTGGGTTCGATTCCTCAGCACCACATAAACAAAAAGAAAAGAAAAACCGGAAGTGGCACTGTGGCTCAAGTGATTGAGTGCTAGCCTTGAGCTGAAGAGCTGAGGGACAGCGCTCGGGCCCAGAGTTCAGGCCCCATGACCAGACCCCCCCCCAAAAAAAAGAATGTTTTTTCACTTCCAAAATTGTGAAGATTTACACCTATTTTTTTCTAAGTGACATTATAGTTTCAGATTTTACATCACATGCTTGACTTATTTTGAGGTAATTAGAATGGTATGATTTAAAAGAACAGATCTTTCTTTTTCACATAGCTATTCATTGTCCCATTATTACTATTGAGAAGATTAAGTGCTCTTGCTGTACTTGTTCTGGATCTTTATTCCATTGGCTTGTATGCCCAACATAGTACGAACATCACACTTTCTTGATTGCCTTTTGCCTTGTAGTAAGTTTTTACAAATCTTGGAATATAAATTCACCTACATTATTTTTTTCAAGACTATTTGATCATTCCAAACTCTTAATTCCACATGAATTTTATAATAAACTTGATCATTTACAGAGAAATCCACTGAAATTCTTATATAAATTGTACTGAAACTGTAGATCAAATTTTAAGTTATGACTAGCTTAAATATAGCAATTTTCCCAATCAGTGAACATAAGATATTGTTCCACAGATTTTTTCAATATTTTGTATTTTTTCACAGGCTTTTAAAAAATTTTGTACAACAATATTTTGTAGTCTTCAGAGTATATTTGAACTTCTTATTAAATTTATCTCAAAGTATTTAATTTATCACATACTATTGTAAATGGGATTGTTTTCTTGGTTTTATTTTTAGATTCTTTATTACAAGGGTATAGAAATACAATCAGTTATAAGTACTGATTTTGGATCTTGATACTTGATAAATTCATTTTTAATATTTCATTAGGATTTTTATACATAAAATTATATCAGTTGTAGGTAAATATATTCTTTTATTTTCAATCTTATATTTCTTTTAGTTTGCTATTATCTCTAATGAGACCTTCCAGTATAATATTGAATAATAATACATAATGTTATATTTTGAAGACAAAGATAAAAGTAGAAAGTTTTATCTTATTCTTCATCTTAGGTAAAAAATGTCCAATGTTTCATCATGAAATGTAATTTTTGCAGTAAATTTTTTTTAATTAATTTATTTATTTTTTATTTGTGAACATACTGTACAGAGGGGTTACAATTACATGGGCAGGATAATGAGTACATTTCTTACCAAGCATTGCAGCCTCCTCCTTTGGTTTACCCTTCACATCCCTTCCAAGCCTCCCCCCTCCCCCCCAATCCCAACCCTTCTCCTCCCCCTCTCCCCCCTCCACCGACGTTGTAAAGCTCGTTTTGGACATGACAACTTGTACTTCTCGTTGTTGCATCAGGTCCACCTGTATCCTTAAACAACTGTTTTTTCCCCCTCTCCTCCACAAGTTATACTGACATCAAATATAGTGAAAGCAGGGGTTATACTGTGGGGGAGGGACATACAAAGCAACAAAGAGATAGTCTTATAAATGCGTTAGAAACACATGCATGAAAGAAAAAAACATTAAAATACATGTCTAAGGGTTCATTTTCCTGACATCACATTATCTGACCTTTTCCGCTTGACTCATACATATACTAGATATTGCAAATAAGGGAAACCATGGGACCTATGTTTCTTTGGGCCTGGCTTACTTCACTTAATATAATTTTTTCCAAGTTTTTCCATTTCCTAACAAATGTGGCAATGTCATTCTTTCTGATGGAGGCATAGAATTCCATTGTGTATATATACCACATTTTCTTGATCCATTCATCTACTGAGGGGCATCTGGGTTGGTTCCATATCTTAGCTATGGTAAATAATGCTGCAATGAACATAGTTGTGCTGGTAGCTTTAGTGTGGTCTTGTTTGTAAACATTTGGGTAAATGCCCAAAAGTGGGATTGCTGGGTCATAGGGGAGCACTATGTGGAGTCTTTTGAGGAACCTCCATACTGCTTTCCAAAGTGGTTGAACAAGTTTACATTCCCACCAACAATGAAGTAAGGTTCCTTTTTGTCCACATCCCCTCCAGCATCTGTTGTTGTTAGAGTTCTTGATTTTTGCCGTTCTAACTGGAGTGAGGTGGTATCTCAATGTTGTTTTGATTTGCATTTCTTTTATGGCTAGGGATGTTGAACATTTCTTCATGTGTCTATTGGCCATCCTTCTTTCTTCTTCAGAGAAGTTTCTCTTTAAGTCTTTCGCCCACTTGTTTATTGGGCAGTTGTTTCTTTGAGGATTTGTTGTTGGGGGGTTTAATTTTTTGAGTTCCAAGTATATTTTAGATATGAGACCCTGTTGTATGGCTAGTAAAGATCTTCTCCCAATCCGTGGGCTTTCTATTGATCTTGCTAGCTATGTCATTTGCCCATTTGCAGTAAATTTTTATAATCTCCTAAAGACAGAGATTTTGTTCATTTGTTAAGTGTTCTTAATGAAAAGGTATAAAGTGGTGTCAAATGACTTGTCGTCATATACTGAAACAATTCTGTGAATTTTATACTCTATTAGTATGATGTGTTACATGTTAAACATTGTAGTCCCAGTACTAAAATAAACCCAACTGCTATCCATATTCTTAATATCCTGAAGAATTAAATTTACTAGCATTGTGTTGTGGCATGTTACATCCATATTCATAAGAGGCATTGCTCTATAATTTTCTTATCTATGATATCTGTAGTTGACCTTGTTATCAATCTAATTCTAGCCTGGACAATATATAAGGGCATAATCTTGTCTTGCCTGTTTCAAAGAAAACTTTTAGAAAGATTAGTATTACTTATTTTCGTTTAATTAGTATCAATTCTTTAGTATACTTCACCAGTGAAACCATCTGGTTCTGCACTATATTTTGGTGAGAGGTTTTAGATTACTGGTTCAGTCTCTTTAGTTGGTATTGGTTGGTTCATATTTTTTCTGTTTCTCTTTATCACGTTCTGGCAGGTTGTATATTTCTTGGAATTTGTCCATTTAATCTGTTAACTAGTTTGCTGGTATGCAATCATTCATAGCAGCTTCCATTTTATTTCTTTAAGTACTGTAGAAGTGTCCCACTTTCACATCCATTTTCAAAAATTGAATCTTCTTTTTCTTAGTTAATTAAAGTGTTGCCATTTCTTTTTATGTTTTCAAAGATGCAACCTTTTGGCTACATAGAGTCTATTGTTCCTTATTCCCTATTAATTGATAATCTTCAAGTCTTCATTTTCTACCATATTCTAGCTTCGA